GGAGTGAAAAGCACAGAAAATGGTAAATATATGAGTCAATATAAAAGACTATATATATATTTTTTTCTTTTTTTCTTCTCAGTTTCTTTGAAAACATGAAATTCTTTAAACCATGAACAGTAGCACTGTTCTGTTGGGTTTATTATGTGAGATCATTCATGTGTCTGCTTCTTTTTTTATTTTCTTTTTTTTTTTTCACAACTTTCACATCCCTTCCCTTTGGTGTTATTGTCAATAATAGCACAATATATATTCTTTATATATGTAATATATAATAAACTGCATATATAATTTATTATATAATACACATATATAATACAATAATAACAAAAGGAAGGGATGTGCTAGAGCAAGTTGTGAAAAAAAAAAAGAAAAAATAGAAACATTGGAGTAATCCAAGAAGGACATTGAAATAACTCTTTTTAACATATTCAAAAATAGAGAAAAAGATGAAGGAAGTAGATTTAAAAAATGGACAATTTCATCAAAGAATTAAAAATCTATCAAAAACAATAACTTAAAAATATAATATCAGAAATTAAGGACAAATTTGATGAGGTTGAAAACTTACAGGATATCATGAAAAGGAAGATTTGTGAACTGGAAAATAGGTCAATAGAAAATTTCTAAACTGAACAACAGAAAGGGAAAAAAAAGAAATACAGGAAAAAAGCATTAGGATTAATAAAAATATATTTAGGCACAATTTTTTAAACTAGAAACCTAACATCACAAATTTAAATGCTAATTAAAAAATGCAAGCGTTAGGAATAACATGAGTGAACTTCTGTATAATCTGGGAACGGGGAAAGCTTTCCTTAATTGTGACTCAAAATTGGAACCAATAAGGGAAAAGACTGATAGATTTTATTTCATAAAAATAAGAATTATGCACATGGGAAACAATGTCATGAGAAAGTATGGAGAGATGCCAAACTGAGAAAAATATTTGCAACTTCTATGACAAAGGGTTAATAGATTTTACATGGGGGACATTTTCAGCCTAATAAGGATAACAAATTAAAACTCATTAATATGTTTAAATTCATATGAATTCTTGATACTTAACACAAATATTTATTGGTCACCTAAGAATGTTAGTGAATCAACTCATTTTTAAAGTTGGTAAATCAAGGGAAAGAATCATGTGTCTTTTCTGCTTTTCTTATATAAACTATACATCTAGTAAGTAATTGGTTCATGAGAGGAAGTTTCTGTTTATAAGAATACTTCGGCTACTAAATGAAGGAATGATAGAATTAGAATATCACTATTTGGCAACCCATAACGAAGGAGTGGATTTGGGCAACACCCATCAGTGGCTGTTAACATTACACAACCAGACGTTATGTACCTCTGATGTAACTATACAACATCATCTACGAAACAGCCTTGTCAAAAAATAAAAACAAAAACCTTAATGTGATCAAATTTGTATATCTAACTAAAAGTGAAAAAGGAAAATGGAGGTATCATGAGATATAAAAGCAAAATCCAGGCTGTGGGTAATTCTACAAGACAAACAATCAAATTTGCTCAACAAATGCACTGTAAAAGAAAAAAAGGAAATGTAAGACAGCCTTCAGATTAAAAGGGAACAGACTGGTCAGAGGCAATGGGTGGGGAGTGGGCAAAATGGGTGAAGGTGATCAAACGGTACAAACTTCCAGTTAAAGATAAATAAGTTCTTGGGATGCAATGTTTGCTTGGTGAAATTAGTTAAATACAGTTAAAAATACTGTATCATATGTTTAAAAATTGTGAAGAGACCATACCTTAAAGTTGTCATCGTAAGAAAAAAATTATCATTGTGTGAGGTGATGGATGTTAACCGAACTTACTGTGGTGACCATTTCACAGTGTACACACATATCAAATCATTACATTGTACACCTAAAACTAATATGATGTTGTATGTCAACATCTCAATAAAACTAGGGGGAAAGGTCAAAGAACAAACAGCCTGAGATTTTCCAAGACTGTATTATCAAGATGATTCTATGCTATTGTTCTGTTATCATAATCTACACTACTTCTATCTATTACCAGTACTCTTCCTCCTTCACCTACTGCTCCTAATAACAGCATTAACAGCCCTCAAGGTTTTTGTTGTAATCTGGGAAATTAAAGCCATGTTGTACTTTTAAAACTAATCCTAACAACTACACATTTTAAATGCATTGAAATCTACAATCTGAAGCATTATGGGACCCAGTCGCATCGAATGAAGGAAACCTGGATTACAATAACCCAAGGCTTAATTCAGAGAACTGCGTTTCTTGGAATAACTCGAAAGCTAACCTAAGAGGAAACTCTGTCAAGTGAAAATGAAAACAGAGCAGATGCCACGCTGTGTGTGACAGCTGTACCCTCATTCACAGTCTCAGAGCACTAGCTCACACGAAGGAACAAAAGGAACAGGAAGATGTCTCACCCACCCCGGCCCCTCAGCATCTTCATATTAGATTCATATATACCACTTCAATTTGCATGTGTTCATATACTTCACCAGAGTTTGAGCTCTTGTGTGTTTTGCTTACCTCACTAGCCTGTTAACTTGAAGATCTCCCAGGGATGTGAGAGGGAAATGGCACAAGTGAAAGAAGAGAGTAAAGATCAAAAGAATAAAGGGGGGAAGGATGTGTCATTAGGTGGGGACTTGACAGCGTTTTCGAGTGACAGCTGCCCCATCGAAGTGTCTACCCCTTAGCTCTATACCAGGCTTATATATTTAGTCACTCTGCTGTGAAAGAATGTTTTCCCTTTCTGTTTTCCTCTTTTCTGTTTTGCTCACTTTGTCTCCAAATACACAGTACCAGAACCATTTCTCTACCTTTTTTTTTCATCTGGTCCATTTCTCTAGCCATTTTTTTTTCATCTGGTTCAGCTGACCAACAGCAAGTTTACAATCAGAAGACTGAGAAATTGCCAACCACAAAGCAGTAGACTTGGCTTCTGCCTCTCCAGTGATTTGTAGTTTTTAGTAGCTACAAGCTTGGCTCCTTTGGGTTGCCCCTTATTTTAAGAAATACACTTTCCTTAACGGCAACACCACTTTCCTTTCTGAATAACATGCTACCTCTTCTTCATTGCTGCCTTTATGCTGAGCCATTCCCACATGCTGCTTCCTATAGGGCACATCAAATCATGTTGTCGATTCTCCATGAAATAAACATTAGGTCCTCAGATATGCAGTAGCATAGTTTACAGTTTTAGGAAGAAGGTACAAAACCTTTGTCTAAAGCCCAGGTCAATGTGTACTTGTGCTAATATAGGACACGTGTCTGTTAGGCAAATTAGGCAAATTAGGCAAATATCAAAAAGAGAGGGAGGAGGACTCATTTTCCAGTAAGACCAGAGAAATCTAGTTCACTCATTATTATTATTAATTTTCTTAGTGAAAACTACCATTTACTAAACCCTTACTCTTTGGGAGGAACTATGCTAAGTACGCTACACAGATTATCTTATCTAACCATCAAAATATTGGTACCTGTGAAGGAGGTCCTATAATTATCTATATTTGTTGTATCAGGAAACAAAAACTTAGAGATTTGGAATAACTTGGCAAAGATGATGTATACAGTAAATGACAGAGTCAGCATTCAAATCCAGGCAACCTGGCCCCAAAGTATGTGTAGCTGAACATTGTTCTATACAGATTTCCTCATTTCTCTTCACTCAAACCCACCACCCTGCCCCATCCCAAACTGAAATTTTTTTTCCTGGAAAACATCAGTGGGAATTGAGCATTGTTGAGGCAGAGACAGAGGAGGTCCTGCTCTATACACAGCTGGACTGCCCAACACCAAGGACTTATGTCTTGATGAGAAATGGAGAGGAGGTAATAAGCCCACACCTATCGCTTGTCCTGTGCCTTCTTTAGCACAGCCTTCATGAGTTGATTTTTGCTGTTTCTTTCTTATCCTACCAGGTCACTTTGCCCTTGAATTAAAAACATTCCGTTTCCAGCGCATTTTCCGTTTGTTGGCTTTTATTTCCATCTTTTCCATTAGTATAAATGGAGGTCATTTATTTCAGGACCAACTAATTTAGGGTAGCCATTATTTTCATCATTTTCCAGATAGGCTCAAAGAATGCACACGACAGGCTCCAGATGAAATTCATTTCTAGCCGGAAAGGGGCTAGTGCTTTAACCCGATTCCTGCCTCCGAATGCAGCCCTCTACAGCAAGTATGAGTGAATGCCGCCTGTCCAGCAGCCTCCTTGGTATCTTTCCCTGCCGTATACTGAATCTATCCAAAGCCACTTTGGTAAATTTCCCCCGCAAACCTGTTCTGATTCCTTTGCCTCCCATCTCCGTGAGTGGCACCAGCGTTCAGGTGTGCATGCCAGACACATGCGTGTTTTTGCGCTCCTTCACTCGTGCTGCCATTGTCCTGTATCCACTCTATTGCCAGGTCCTGTCTGTTTAATGCCCAAAGCATCAAATTTGTCATCTTCTTTCTATATCTATGCAAACTACCACTCTGTCTCCTCTGGGCTACTGGGATTGTCCAACTTGTCCCCACCTTTTCCTTCTTGTCCCCCTTTACTTCATTCTCATACAAAAACCAGCACCATCTTTTTATAATCCAAATTGAATCGGGCTATAAATATTGTGCCATCCTTTGGCTGAAAATACTTCAGTGTTTTCCCATGGCTCTTAGATAACAACCAAGACCCTGAACATGGCTGACAAGGTTCAGCGTGATCTGGTCCCTTAGTCCTGCACTGTAGTCCCACTGGGTGTAGCTTTTCCCATTTCCTCAAACACACCACAGCCCAGCACACCAGCTGGTCCCTCTCCCTGGATCACTCACAAACCTCCCACCTCCCAAGTGGTGTTAATACCTACTCATTCCTCAGACCTCAGCTCACTTGTTACTTTCCCAGGGTCACTTTCCCTGGCTCTCACAAAGCGGTTGTAGTCCTTATCACTGTTGTGATTTTACATTTATTTGTGGCATTATTTGATCAATTTCTGTCCTCCTTTCCAGGCAACACCTCTTCTTGCTCAACCGTTCTGTACGTAGCACCATGCCTAGCACGTGCTTGGCTCAGAATACGTATTTGCTGAGTGAATGAGAACTGAATGAACTCATGGCTTCTTTCCCCCACCAGGTATGCTTACCATTTGTCTGAATGAACAGGTTGTAGATTTTGGTCTGAATGCCCTCTGGATACAAAGTGAAGCTACACTCGTACTTCCCAGTAAGCGAGGAGGACATGTTCCTTAAGTGCAGAGTCCACTGTGACACACTGCCAGGAGTTACTCTGAAAGCCACCAGTGACTCACAGCGACTCCTGCTGCCACAGTAGAAGCCATGTTCGGGATGATAAAGGGCAATCAGGTCTACCTTATCGGTGACCTTGGACCACTGCATCTGCACCAGGAAGCCCTTCTTCCGTGTTTGGCAGGTCAGGCTGACATCAGAGCCAGGTAAAGCATAAATGTCTTCTTCTGCATTGAGTGTTTCTTCCAATATTCCTGAAAAGGAAGGCCATAAGCTATCAGTTTGCCTGATTCACATGGAGTGACTCTTAATGAAAAACCTTGGCTGCTGCTGAGAACTTTCCTCCCTGACTGCCTCAGGGGCAGGAGAGAGCTTGCGCATGATCCAGATAGGGAACCGTAAGACTCAACACAAATGAGGAGGCATTTGCTTGAAGGCACTAGAGGAAATTATTGACTTTTGAATATCTACTTCTTTGTCTACTGGTCTGTCTGAAAAATAATTTAAGGTCTCAGACTACCTGGGAATAAAATTAAGCCTATTTAAAAAATCGAAGCCCACCAACAAGCGTATTCCTTACAGTGAATATAACTGGCTTTTTTGTTTATGAATCAACAGCATATAACATACAAATAGTTTTATGAAACTGAAAGATAACTAATATGTATACACCAGTTTTTAAAAAATATGTTTACAAGAGATTTTAAATAGGCTATTTTTTTTATTCCTCCTCACACACCAGAGTGATGCTGTTAACCTTCTTAATCAGAGAGGAAACTGAGGCACAGAAAGATTAAGTGATTTGCTCATAGTCACACCACAGGAAAAGAATATGAATTCAATTGTCTGTGCTCTTTCTATAACCAGTTCATGACCTCTGAACTGCCTTCCAAATTGGCTGAGAAGAGTAAGAAATTTGGCATTCAACATATGAGGCTCAAAAGAGCCACCATTTCCACAGATTTAGGGCTCCTGAAGGAAGGAGGGAACAAAGAGAGGCAGAGGCTTCTACTGAAGGTAAGCCATTGGTCAGCATCATCTCTCATCAACACCGAAACACCAGGCATAAAAGAAGACTCTCTCCCATCAGCTCTCGGACCAAATGGCACAGGACACTTAAAACACGTTCAGCACTGAGTCTTTGACATGCCTTCAATAGTGTAGGTTTCGTTTTTGGAATTAACATGGAATACTGTTACAGGAATGGTATCTTATTGTGACAAGTACCACTGAAGCTCACAAAGGAAAAAGATAAAAAGATGACAAGCAACTGAGAAAAAACTAGGCTCTCAAAGGCACCTGACAAATGGGAATTACTACAATTTTATGGATGCAAAATTTGGGGTAGGCAGAGGTTAGTGCAGTTTAATGTCGCCGCCTGTGAGCTCGCCTTTGCCTGATGACATTCCTCTGATCCTGTCTACAGCATTATATTCCAAAGTCTCCTTTGATTTAGAAATTCTCCTTAAAGTCTTTGTCGCTGTATCTGAAAAGCACAGTTAATTCTTAAGACACTCAGGCTCACTGTAATACTCTCCTACTATGGAATGCAGAATGAATCTTTCCTCCTGCTATTTTCAAATAGGCCCTTCAGGCACCGGTTCCCACTGTCACAAGGACCCTACTTTGACTCCCAGGTCCAAACCTACACAAGCCTTATTAAAATTCAACATATGTTCAACTCCCAAAGATCTTCGTATTTGGAGGAGAAGTGTTTATTACGTCCCCAAGAAAAAGTATTTGAGAGAGAGGAAAAGTTGAGCCAGGATCTCTGAGCCTTGATGGCTTTGTGATGTTTTTTTTAGCATTCCAGAGTGGTTCTGACTACCATTTGGAGAGCATTTCATTTTTAAGAAGCACAGTTTCCCAATTACTCCAAAGACCCTCTTAGGAAGGAAATGGGTGAAAATGTCTCAGAGCAGTGGCTCAAACCACCCATACCATTCTTGTTTTTCATGTCCGTTAGTAATCATTTCTAGATTCTAACGTCTCCCTGATAGCTGCCACTTAAATACACAACTGAAAAACCTTAGTAACAATCTGCCTTTGGTGATCAATTTCGGCAGCAGTCACAAAGCATTTTAAATGAACAGAGGCCCCCTTCCCCATAAAGCAGCCGATGTGACAAGAAAGGACAAAAGGAAGGAAGCCTTACCCCTGACAAAATGTATCTGGATGATGGAATAGACAGCACAGTATGTCCATTTTCTCTCCATCTTCTCCTGAGGGCTTTACACCAGCATTTCCACACTGATCACCCAAGTCAACCGATGCCTTTAACTAAGCAAACTCCAGTCGCCCTGTTCGTGCTGCAAAACCCCAAACCTGCCACACGCTCACCATCTGTTTATCACTTGGCGAGACCCCAGGAAATGAAACGTAGACAGGAAAGTAATGTGGTTCAGAGCTAAGTATAACCTTCAAGAGAACAATGTTGAAATTGTCCTCTGAAATCCCGTGTATCACCTTCACTAAAAGGATTTTCAGTATCCAAAGATTCTCCCTCCTTCAGGATCTGTGTCAGTCAAGCTGCTTCTAAAATCCAAACAAAGGAAATCATGCAGAGCAGTTCATAATGTGCTTTTTATACATTTCTTTTCAGGAGCACAAAGTCATTTAGCAAATGTGAGCTTAGTGTCTTGCATAATAGTTTTTCTGTTCAATTTTAAAGTATGTTTTCTTTCCAGAATTGCTTCAGGGTGAAAGAACAAAGAATTAACACATTTAATTTTAATAAAATCTGAAAAGTAACAGAGGAGAGCTCCAGCTAAGAAACAGAATTTTAATGTCTCCCTTCTTGCAGGGAAACCCACATTCCCTGGAGGCGGAGAAGTGACAGCTCCTTTTCCACCCCTTGTCTGGGACAGGCTGGACCAGGTGGGGAAGCCTCCCACACTGCTGGCTGGAGATCTGTTTTGCTGATGACAGAAAAGCTTGTCTGTGCTTCAGCAAAAAACATACAGAACAAGACAGAAGCAATCAGAATCCAAAGGCAGAGAATCTCCCACCTTGGCTGGCTACCAGGCCTGTTCCCTCCACCCAGTGACTTCCATTTACAGAGGACTGAGACTGGATTTCAGGGAAGTGACTCCTTGGTAAAAACTGTCTGGTTAGTTACAGAAGGACATGAGGACTGTTCCCTGCCAGATGCAACTGTACTGGTTGGCTATCTTGGGATAAAGCAGGCTGTCCTTACCTTCCAACGCTGAGAAAACAGACGTTAGGCTGGAACTACAGCGTAAGTTTAATGAGCAAAGAATAAAAACCAGTAAATGTATATAATCTCACGAACGATTGGTGAAATCTTCTGCGACCCTAATCTCACTACTACAATATAGGCACCACCCAGCAAGCCTACAGACAAAAGAGAAGGCTGAGTTGTGTTCCTGAGATGGTTGCTCTTTTGAGGTCGGGGGGGGATAATTCTGACCAGGTGGTCACCGTGTATCATGACATCATGTATCACAACGTGTCACGCCATCACATAGGTACTCATCTATCCTATGCAAGGACTTGGGGGGATGTGGATGATGCTAAGACATAAGGCATCACTCTTGATATTCAGGAGATTAGAAGTTAGTTGGGAGAAGAGATTATGGTGAAACAGGATGTGCAGGCTGCCCTCTACACCACCATTACAAGTATTTGCCATGACGACTGTCATACTTACTCATTACTACTCAGCTAATGATGTTTCCTGCAAAGGCCAGAAATTGGAATTATTATTTCCTATCGCAGGCTCCCCAGCTTTCATTCTCACCACCACCCCTACCTCCCCACTAAGTTTCAGGTCACTGAAGGTATTGGGTCAGGTGGGGCTGACAGAGGTATATTCAGGGAGGACCAGGGAGCTCAAATTCACTGATTGAAAGGCAGGAGGAAATACTGCTGCTCTTGATGGCTTCATCTTCCCCTTTCCTAGAAATTCCCATAAATCACAGTGATGGAGTATAGTGGCAAAAACAGGCCAGATGGTAGAATCCTGATCTATAAGTCGATGTCCCTATTAAAACTGGGACACATTACAAGCCTGGGGAGGGACTTTCACTCCACTTGTCATATTAAGAGGAATCTACCTATGTGGAACCTACTAAGACTCCAACTATTGAATTCTCTAAGAACAATATCCTCCCCCTTGGAGTATCTAAAGGTCTATCTCTTATTGCTTTAAAGTGAAGCAACTCATCAAAAAAAGGCCCCCAGATTCAGAAAAAGGGAAATCCTCTTTTACTTTCCAGAGCTACAGATTCACTTTCAATGGATTACTTGCCTCTCATTGGGGTTGGGATGCCCAGGACCCCCATTTAGTGGCTACTGGGCAAAGCTCCCCCATTGGGTGATTTTTTAATTTTATACTCCTGTGGCCTGGAGTCATCAGATTTGACTGCTTTTCCTTTGAGACTCCCCTAGGCTCTTAGAGAAGAAAAATTCAGATGCCCACAGAATATCAATTGTACGCACCTGGCGTCCTGCAGCTGCGAGGCCCGCACCAGCCCCTCTGTGGCTGTCTGCGTGCAGCAGGTGGCAGCAACACCCTGCACACCAGCACCGCCAGCCCAGGTGATGGGATTGCCCTCACTGCTTTTCAATCCCGGCAGTATTTTCTAAAGGCCCTTTCAGCATAAGGATAGGCATTCTCTGTACTTAAAAATAACTCTTTTATGGAAGTCATGTCAATCTCTTTCTGTTATCCTCCCTGCTCACCAAATCCCAACTGCACAGCGTTTCTTCTGCCTTAGATGATAGTCTACCGCATATAAAGAGACAACAGAAGCAGTCAGTTTCACATACAAAAAAAAATCCTGAACTTCTTGAACTTCAGAGGAAAACTCAGTTATTTACAAATAGAAGTGGGGGCACACATTATTTAAGCTAGAGGCAAGCCATAATTGTGTGTCTGGGGCATACTTTTTAAATGCTCCATCTAAACACTTACCCTCAATGAGAAAAGCACATTTTCAGACATGGGAAGTTGAGCAAAAGGTAATCTTACTTTTGGGGTTTTCACAGAGGTTAACTAAAAATATTACTGATTTGTCTTGGATTTTATCCTTTAACTACTTATATAAAACATAAGAATGTGGAGTGTTATACTTTTACACGTTTCTTTCCCCAAATGCTTAGAAAACATGATGCTTAATTAAAAACAAAAACAACAACATGTATTTAGTGCCAACTTTTAAGGTATTACTGAAGAGGCATAGTTCGAGGTGATTTTAAAATACAAACGATAAAACACAGCCCTTGGCCGTAAGGCACTTACTATTTTGCCAGGAAGAAAACGTCCACGTGTGCCAAGAGTCAAGTAACGTAAAGTGCAGAAGCGAATGGGTGGGTAGCATGGGTCTTTAGAAAAGGGGGGAATCTGCCAGGGGTCCCATGGGCTAGGAACATCTCAAGTGTGGAATCTTAACCTGGCTTTATATTGTGGAAGAGAGTCTGGTGGAAGCCACGAGGTAAGTCATTCCAGGCAGAGGAAATAGCCAGAGCCAACACACAGGAGTGTTGAAGTTCAAGGCCAATTCAGTGAGTCAGCAGGGGCTTTACTGGGGGGGCTTGAGGCAAAGTCATGCTAGGGGTGAGCTTAAATTCTGGAGGGCTCTGAATTCTGGACTACAGATTTTTTTTCTTCATGTTAGATTTTACAGGATTTTCAACAAAGGAGTAGCATATCTAAAAGTAACATTTTAGAAGACTGAATTAGGTGGACATGTGTAGATTAAATAAAAGAAGGAAGAAAAAAGAGGCAAGAGATCTGTTAGGAATTTAGTATTTCTTTAAGCACCTGAGGATGACAGCCTTCCTATTGGCAGTGGTTATGGTAAAATGTGATGGGACCATGGACATTACAAAGAAAGAGGGGGTAAGGCTTGATGTCCATGGAATCAGAATCTCTGAATTTTCATGCATCAGAATTAGGAGAGAAGAAAAACTGTGATAGAGCTGGATTCCTGCTGGAAGAGCTACCCTACCCCAGGAGCAATGGTCAAGGGCTCACTGGACTTTGAAGGGGAAGAGACGGATGACCTACTAGGTACAGGTAGACCTGCTAGGTACAGCCCTGCCTCCAAGAGAATCAAGTTCCTCCTTTTGGTTTTCACTCAAATTTATCAGTTTTAAGAATTACTATCTAATGGAAGAGAAAGTATTACATGAAACTTTATGTACTGCAATCCTTTATCACCATCATTTCCACCATGCTCAATTCCATCCATTAAAGACTGAGTTTCATGTAATATATTTTTCTAATGACAACATCAATATCTGGTCATTACAAGAAAACATTTTAAAAGGATAACAAAGAAAATAAAAATCAACTGGAATCTTAACTACTCAAAGACAACCAAAGTACTTACATTTTGTCTTGTATCTTTTGAGACATTTACACAAATATGTATAGAAAAAAATGGATTTTTATTATGTTTTCTGCATGCACTCTACCCTGTGCTTTTTTTCACTTCACAATATATTGAAGACATATATACATGTTATAAAACAAAGGTAAACTTCTTCCTTTTAAAACAGTCATATAATTCACGATTCTACAGATGTACAGAAAAAAATATTTTTAAGTAAGATAGGTATCAAATTTCTACCTTATGTTTTACTTTGAGAAATAGAATGATGAAATTCAATTGAATAATTATAGCAAGTAATTTCTGAATATCTATTTTCAGTGGCAAGTTGAAATAAGGAGAGACAGATAGGGGCGGAGGGGGACGTTATTCTGATTTTACCAAAGCCCTGGGAAGCTAATGACTCAATAATCACTCAATAATGCTGACTTTTGCAGAAATACACTTTAAAAATGATTAACATTTCTAGGGTTAAGTTAGCATAGCCAGAATTAGAATATTTTAAATTTTACATTCTACCTGGTTTCAAAGCATTGCAATTTATTTAAAATGTCTCTTCACATTCAATGGAGAAATAGAAAAAAACACCTTGAGAAACTGAGAGTGTTGCAGTTGATTTTAGAGCTTAAAAAAAAAAAAGACAGTATGGAGCAAAATGACACACCTTGATCCTTTTGTAGACTGCTACAAATATATCCTTAACCACATTGTGTTTTTACAACTACAGATTCACATGGAGATACTGTGCTGCTACACTGGGAGAAAACAACAGGCTAGGTTAAAGCCAACCAAGGACTGAGTCTAACCTCAGTCGCTAATCCCCCTCTTCTTTTTTCCCCAATAATTTGTCTTTAAATAGAGTTCTGAGTCCAAGAGTAAGAGCAAGTGAGAAAGGGAAAGAAAGAGAGAGAGACCACGTTGGTTTTCTTTTTCCTTTTCTTCTTTCTTTTCATTTTTCTTTTTTTGTGTGTGTGATGATGTAGCTCAGTACAACCTCAATTAAGTAATGTTATCAGGAAATAGGAAATTGTGATTAATAGCATTTCCGGGGTAATTGAGAGATAAACCAAATTATTTTCTTAGAAGAGGAAGGACTGTAATGGAGAGGGGAAATGGTAGGGTACAAAAATAGTCCTCCTTGCTGAACATCTTTTTAAAATGTATTGCTTCACATTTCTGGCTCAATGAAGACCTTGTAATGAACAATATTTCATTTTATTTGGTGATTGAAGATCTTACAGAGACAACGAACACTGTTCTGAATCTCAGATCCCAAAGAGGAACATAAAAATATAGAGGATAGTTGTGAATAAAAACACTCTCCCCTCTTCCAGAAAAGAAGTCTAACTTTCTAAAGATTTGCCTCTTTTGTGAAAGAGTCAAAAACAAAGCTGCTTGAACACAACGATTGTATAATTTCTACCAAGATTTATAGAACTTTGGCGCGAGAAGTAACTGTACCATCATCTGACAGAAAACAGAACCCTTCATCTTACAGATGAAAAAACTGAGGACCAAGAGGTAAAACCGTCTTGCCTCAGGTCAAAGGTTTTCTTATAAAGAATCCTGTACTGTTTGTTATACTGAGTCTTATTTCAACACTATTAAACTGTTCAGCTTAACGTATTCAACAGCTGAAAACCAACCATTCTTCAAATTAAAATGCAAATTGCCTTCAACATCTTGACAAGGAGGCAAGAATCTAGAAAACACAGGTTTTATTTTTCCCCTAAGACATTTTTCTCTACTAACCTGCATCTGTACATCACAGGAAACAATAGTGATATATACATGTATACATATAGTCACACACACACACACACACACACACACACACACACATATAAACACATACATATATATTATACTTGTTAGAAAAG